GATCCAATAGGTATGACTTGTCACGCTATAAGCACGTCATAAACACAGTGAATGACGTGACGGGAAACTGAATTACCGTGTACGGAGGAGGAATAATATGAACGTATTTTCTTGTGAGAAAACGTCTAATAAAGATAAATGTTCTGTAGTTGAAGGATCTCTGCGAGTGCGATCGGAAGGCCCATTTGTGCCGTTTTTCAGCTTTTGAGAGTATCCGTATTGATTGGTCACGCGCCACTTACAAAACAAAGGCGGCGACATGGCGACGGCGACATGCCGATATTTCAGGAATTCAAAGGAATATTAAGGAAAGATCAAAGCTATGCGCAAATACTAAAATATCCGAAAGTTAAATTGTGTTTACTAAGACTAATTAAATATAAACGCTTGGAAACGCACTCGCTTCAATTTAATTGCGTAGCGCCTAAACCTATTTTATGATGTGGAGCGGCAAGGCATCAATTTGTAAGTGAGCGGCAAATGGGATCTCATTTGCCATTGGCGTTATGGGAAAAGGAAAATAACCAAAGTGCAATACTACGTACCTTTTTATAATTTATAGCCCCAAGTACAATGTCAATGAGTTTCTTCATACTTCCTACGTCACTTTATTTTTGTCTTTTGCTGTCGCATGTTTTCCTCCCTCTCCCAATCTCACGCACTCGCTCTTTCTCTGTCTGTTTATGTATCTGTCAATGTCTCTGCCTCTGTCTATACTATTTGACTCGATTGTTTGATGACGGTTGGGCATTGTTTGTTTCAGTCGACCCGGATGAAATTCGGCGCCTTGGAAAGCGATTTCGGAAACTAGATCTCGACAACTCCGGATCGCTGAGCGTCGAGGAATTTATGTCTCTGCCGGAGCTTCAGCAGAATCCTCTAGTCCAACGAGTGATTGAAATATTCGATGAAGATGGCAATGGAGAGGTAGACTTCAAAGGTGATTGCTCAACACTCCTGAAACTGGTATTGTTGTTAGAAAGCGCATACTGACTCAACATTGCTGCTTAACTTTCCTTGCTCAATCAATTTCATTTCTGGCATAGCAGCAGATTCGCGTTTGCTAAACTAACGTGGAAGTCGTTGATTATATCGTAATGAACTGCTGGAGGAGTAATACCAAATTTATCGTTAAGTTCCATGTACGGATGCCGAATAAAACGCTTATCAGTAGTGCTGGCATATCGGTCTTGTCAGTGCACTTATGTGTAAATAACAATTATTGTTTTATGTTTTTCAGAGTTCATCCAGGGTGTGTCACAGTTCTCTGTCAAGGGAGACAAGCTCTCGAAGCTGAGGTTCGCTTTCCGTATCTATGACATGGACAAGGACGGACTAATATCAAATGGAGAACTGTTCCAGGTACGGTCTCCTTCGTGTATGTTGAATGATTTATGCTTTAATTCCCTGGCATTGGTAAGTTTTTTTCCAATGAGTGTCACCTTGTCATTAATTTGTAGCAAGATATTGAATTATTGTTGTATCACAAATGAGTGCTAAGTGTATTGTAAAGACTTTATTCTATTTATGTGTGTTGTTGTGTAGCTGTTTTATTGGAGGATCGTTGTCTAATCCCAGAAAAGGCATTCCTATCAGGTTTTCATCGCATTTCTCCTAATATTTATTATCAATTGTTGTGTACACTGTACAGCATTATACTTGCAGCGAATTTTTGGACCAAACTGTATGCAGCCGTGCATTTCTGCTATTTTTTCGCCACGAATCGCGATAAAATTGTCCATGAGTTCGTAACGTGAACGATAAGAAGGTGTTCCTTTTTGAGGACAGATGTTGCGATGGTCAAACATTCAAGCCTTTGTAAAGCGCTGCCCTGGATCCTGATTGGGACGATGATGTCGTCTGTGCTGTCCTCAGGTGCTAAAGATGATGGTGGGCAGCAACCTGAAGGACACGCAGCTGCAGCAGATTGTCGACAAGACCATCCTCTTCGCCGACAAGGACGAGGATGGCAAGATCAACTTCGAAGAATTCTGCGCGGTAAGTGTTCGATGGTGAGCCGTGAACGATGACCATCATATCATGATCAATGATCATACAGCTTCTGAGTTGACATTACACCGGCTACCCAGCAAATGATTCAATTTGTGTTGATTGTTTTAACTTTTAGGCATCTCCATCAAAAGCTTTTGACATAGAAGTTGGTTTGAAACACCAAATATTCTATCAGTGTTAGTATTGATATTGACTCATTTCCCTATCATCGACGGTCAATGTCGTGCCTTAACAACCCCGTCCCCCTAAAAAAAATCGATCTAGAGCTCACCTTCAGTTTTTTTTTTTTTTTGATGTACATACCATGACAATGTAAGTTGCGAAAGTACTTGACTAATTAGCTTGTTACAGCTTAGCACGCGCAAAATGACCTTGTAGTCGGCGCGCCCTAAAGCCCCAATAAAAAAAGTTAACGTCACCGCCCGTGGCTGGACCTTCAGGCTGGATTAGCCAGGCTGCTTTGCGTTTCCTGAACTTCAACGAATGAATCTATAGGCGCCGGCTGGGCGGGAGTCGAGCTCGGAGGAGGAGCCTAACTTTAAAACCGAGCTTCCATAGGGCCTGACCATCAGAGAGTGTAGTGCGGCGTGCCCGTACTTCCCTGCCGAAGGAGAAGCAAACGACCGTCTTTGTAGCCGGTCTAGTGTCCAAGTCACCTTGTATAAAATGACTCGCATTGTGCGTTACTGTTTCGGCGAGATGTGTAACCCCGCCCGTCTGTGGCTATCCACAGGTGGTGGGCAACACAGACGTCCACAAGAAGATGGTGGTGGACGTGTAAGAGGGTCGCGGCGCCACGGCGGCGGGTGGATGGGAAGGGGACGGAGACTCGGCGCCGCCCTGTGATACAGAACTCGGTTACAGCAGGAACGTCTGGCAGCCGCAGTTCTACAGTCGACAAGGGCGCCGCTGGAGTGCTGCTTGCAAACACCTGATATAAGTGGCAGTGGAACGTCCGGCACCGATGGGCCCGGAGGCGGTCTCCATTGCTCTCTGTTTCTCTCCCTCTCGCCCTCTTTCAGTCGGCCGGCTGGGTTTGCCGCCGCCGCCGCCGCTTTTCAGGGGAACCCACCGCTAAATTCGGCACATTGGTCAGCACGTCACCTGGGACAACTGGCACGGACGCAGGACATCGCCGGGGCGGTCCGCGGGTACGCGGATGACTTTTCTGCGTCAGAGTGCGTTTTGTGTCGCTTCTCGCGGAATGTTGCCGATTCGTGCGGCCCGGCTGGTGGCACGGACGTCTTGCTGTTTTGCTGGGTGCTCGGCCGCTGCGCCCCGTCGTGGCACGCCCTTCCCTCGGCCGTGCCACCGCCTGGCTGAGGTGCTAAATCGTACCGTTCCGTGCTTGAGCATGCCCGATTTCGTCGCCGGTGGACTTTGCCTGCAGAGAAAAGCGTGGTTTTGTGTTTGGTGCCCAACACTTGTCAACTGGTGCGGTTGGTTGCTGCCTATGCGATGAATTAATCATACATTTTGTTGGGAATAATATATCTATATAAACTTAGCCAGTCATAGTAGCTGCATACATATTAGATGTCCCTAATTGTGACTATTCTGAGTGTTGTGATTGCCGTTTGGTCACCAAGAACGCTATCTCCTATTCTCTCACTTTCTCACACCTTTTGTTTGTTCACCTGCCTGAATGCCTGACTTTTGTTTTCGATATCTCTCTCCCTCTCCATCTCTCTTCCTTCTTCTTTATCTTCTCTTCCTCGTTCTCTCCTCTTTGTCTTCTTTTTTCTCTCCTCTTTTTTTGTGTGTGCGCGTGGAGGTGTACAGTTTTTGACTTCGTTTACGCGTGACTCCTTCACCCGATGCGAATTTCGTGGTCTTGCCACAAATACATTCAATTAATAATCAAATAATGCCTGTGTGTAGGGATACGTGTTTGAGAGATGACGATGGTTACGTGCAGATTTTTTTTTTTAGAAATTTTGTCCGAATGGATGAATGGGTGGCTATGGGCCCGGGTGCCCCGCTAAGCAGAGCTTGTTGCGAATGACACCACGGACCCACCACCCCGCCTTGCCCGCGCCCGGTTCACCGGTGATAATTTGGATCGAAAGTTTAACGTGCCGCAGGTAGATGGCGGCACGGTCCTCCCGGGTCTAGCGTGGCCCTGTCTCGCCAGTTGCCAGCTGGCTTAATATAGGAACGCGGGTCAAACGGCGTGGAGCTTTCCGGCCGCGAACTCGCTGCCACCGAGTTAGGAGACGGACGCCTTATCCACTAGGCCAACGGGGAGGACAAGATCGCCGATGAACATGAATTTTAAACTCATGTTTGGCTAACAGCGCGTTTGGCAGGTGAATGGGTGCTTTTCTAGGCAAGGGTGGTGCAATCGTGGCCTACGGCAACTCCATATACCAACAAGAAAAGATGGCCGTGAGAGGGGAACACACACATTACACATTTTGGCATATCTGCATTGCTATGGCAGGGTCGAACGGGCCATATTCCTGGATATGGGTTCGTGGGTACCCGATTTCCGGATCCGCCACGCTTCACCTCCACATAGGTACAGACACAGACTGTTATCTGTGGTACAGAGCCATGCCCGCGATCAACCCAGCGCAGTTCCCTAGGTGACCGTCCACTGCTAAGGCGCACATATCGCGCATTACGTCCAGTCGTCCAGTGCCTAGTGCGCGCTGAAAGGTTGAAGTATTTCAAGTCGTCAGGACAGTAAAGTTATCTTGAGTCGTCGGCGCTTGATTCGGCACCCAACAGCCGCCGGACGCTGAACCGCAGTCAGCGAACTACAACTGTGTCGGTGCGCGCATAAACAAGGCACTCTGCTTCGGATACAAAATGTCCAGAAGGATCTACACAGAAAGTGTTTCAAAGCTAGAGTGTCAAAGATCAAAGGATTACCTTTCGGCGGCTCAGCATTGGCAACCCAAATCTGAGGTAGGACCTGGAATGTTGTGATCGTTGATAGTAAGCACGTCAACTGACCTAAAAATGTCACGGTGAACCATGAGTTAAAACAACACTGTGTATTATAAATGAAACAGCAACATGGCTAACATAACATTTTCTTAAATGGAAATGAATGCAGCCCTCGCATGTCTGGAATGATAAGCTAAAACACATATATACAATTACACAAAAGGCAAGTAAAATCATTGCTTGCCCAAATCAACACATGACTAAGTGAAGAAACTATGAAAAAGCTCGCCACTTTAGCAGTAGATACTCGTAAAACAGATACAACGGTTGTGCCACCTGTAATACGATGTAGCAAACCCACTTAAGATGGCCCAATTACATATCATCATGCAACTGAAAGACCATTTTCATAAACGTTTTTTCTGACACTGATCATAACCAAACCTCGCAAAAAATGATAACAATTGTGAGACATTTCAAGCATAATTTTAGAGTTTAAGAAAATAAGAACCTCCCATAACCAAAAAAGTTAGAATAAAAAGTCAAGAATCTATAGAGAAATCGTGATCTTCTACAAATGTTTGATCTTTTAAATTCAAGCGATTTCATTGCCGCAGCAGTAAGGTTAATTTCCCTAATCATATTCTAAATGGTTATTCAGTTGCATGATGAATATGAAAACTTCATTTGTACTCAAGCAAAATGCAATGCAGTTTCACAATGCACTTACATGATGGCTTCTGCCATTGGCAGCTCATCTCAAAAGGCACTTGTTCTACGGTTCGACTAATCACATGTCACGCCGCTCAATGAAAACACGACCAGAAAGCATCAACATACGCGTAACGTCCAGCGCACTTTGATACCCGGGCATCAACCAACACCGTCAGACCAAGTGCCGACGGCGCCAGGGGCCGCCCTATTGGCGCCCCTCTGCAGGCGGGATCAGCGCCTTCTTGATGCCGAACTCCTTCACGATGCGCCGCCATGATTCGTGGTCGATTCTGAACAGCATCTGATGTTTGTCCCCTGCGGCATCGCCACCGGCTGGGGCCGCTCCACCCGACACTGGCTCCAGTACGGGTAGTCCGTGCTTGTGGTACAGCCGGGCCTTTTTCATCTTTACTAGAATGGACGCGTGAAAAATGTTCTCCACAGTGACGCCGAAGTCTGTTGGGTGGTACGCGAACTCGAAGAAGCTGATGGGCTTCCCCAGGCGTCTGTAGAGCGCTTTCAACGTCGACTCCAGTCTGTTGATTTGCTGAGGCGTGGCGCCTGGCTCGGCCACCTCCACGACCTTGTCGGGCGCCACAGCAGCCGACAGCGCGTTGGGACGGGCGCGCGGCGCGCGCTGCTTGCGCTCGGCTGGCGGCGCGTTGGGCACTCCGAGCGTTCCGTTGAGCAGCTGCAGCCCGGGACAGGGCCCCAGCAGATTCGCCGTGAGCCGGCCCAAGCCAGCCCAGGCGTTGGGCGTCAGTGAATCCTCCTGGTTGACAGCCGCCGACAGGCGAGCGGCAAAGTCGGCCGGCTGGAAGGTGATGGGCCCGGCGCTGGCGTTGCGGACGCTGCGTGACAGCTCGCTCGACAGCTGAGCCACCAGCTGGCCGTCCACCTCTGCCACCGTCGACTCGGGCAGCTCACATTTCCGGTAGAGGGTCTCCGCCTCGTCCAGCCGCTGCTGCAGGCTCCTGTCGGCCAGACCGTCCTGCTGAGCCGCCTCCAGAGCAGTCAGCTGGTCCCGGTAAGAGCGCACCAGCAGCCGCTCCTTGTGACGGCGCTCCTCGCTCGGCATTGTGTCCAGTTGTCCGCAGCAGCAGCGGAGTCACCGATACCCGTGGCTACAGGCTAGCCACTACAGCGTCTCGTCCGTGGTGGCACCTCAGCTGGACAGACCACGGCAGCAGATCAGTATTCATCGTAAGAGGGATATGTAAATTTGTATCAACTCATTACAGTTGCTAGCATTTACAAGCTCACTGCATATAGGTAGGTACATAACATCAGAAAAAAATAAGGAACCTATTATAAATCATAACAATACTGATGAGGTCTCATCAGTGTGGGATAAGGGGGCTGGATGGGGGGAGGCAGCTGGAGCCATCAGATGGCGCATGGTGCCCAACAGCCATTTTGGGCCATGTTGCCTGTTGGTACCATTCTTATCTTCTGTGCTGGGGTGACTGTACAAGATACTGATTTGTGGCAGACGCAATGGGATCAGCAAAGGAGGTATAGACATTTTTATGTGGTTTTTCTTATCACAAGAGCATTATTAAATACCAAATGTTTACCTAGCTGTTTGTTTACATCGGTGATCTTGAAAGATAACGTCAGAGGGTGTCTGCCAATCTTCGTCAATACTTGCCTTCGAGAATTTTTGTCTCTAAGGCAGTTTGATATTAACCTTTGGGCTCGCTTATCCATTAGAGCCTAAACAAGATTATTTGCTGCACAGCAGTGTCTATAAAATCGACAAAACCTTCACACCCTGTGACGTCATCTGTCTTCTGGGTACTGTTCGGTAATCGGTCAGTTTTTTTAATCAGCAGGCTGCCAGCATGCTGCTGTTTCTTGACTCCTCATTGGTCGAATTCACGTGGTCTATTCATTCGACCAACGAGAGGCCAAGAAGTGCCAGCAATAACTTCCTTATGTGGGAGAACCGACAGCGTGCTGATAAAAACAGCGACCGAACAGAGCTCCAAGCCCTCCCTATGTGGCAGCAAAGAAACGTAAGGTAAGCCCCTGTGCAAAACCCATTAGCATGCTCACGCACAGCCTAGCCATCGTCAATGCAAATTGAAATCAATTTGGCAAAATTGAAATGGAAAAAAAGATGAGTACGATTTAGGTTACATTTTTTATCGATACCCTGATTAAATGATACCTAACATTATAAATTGATACGTGAGACACTTACCGTTTAACTTATGAAGATTCTTAGGTAAGAAATTTCGGACAGTAAATATACGGAAATTCCCGAAATTCTACCTAATAACGCTAACAGCCCACAGCCCTATGAAACCTCCCCCTCTCTCAATTTGCTCTCAATCTCCTAACTCGCGCCGAAACCCGTCTCGGTCAATGAAAGAAATGAATGCAATTAGGTAATGGTATCTATGACGTCACGAAGGTAATTGACTTGCACTTGCCAAGGCACTTGCCACCTCGGGAGACCTGGATCTCGTATTTGTTACAAGTGCTCATTTTTGATGCTTGAATATATCAATACAATATAAATACATGCTTTTGCTTTATAAATATTTGAAATAAAAGTGAAGATCTACTCTTGATGATGATTTTTGTGACGTCATGTAGGTCATTTTTATTCTTTTTATTTTGTTATCCTTGGTGTTATACTTTGCTACATTTGTGGCGCGTTGATAACAAAAAGGCACATATTGATATTGCATGCAATAATTTTTGAAGAAGGTAACGAAGGTAGGTAACATTTGTTTTATTTTATGCTTATTTTATGCTTGATTTGTGCTGGGGCATTTACTGGCAAAGTATTGGCAAATAAATCTTACATTGTTGTTGGCAAGGTCTATAGGCGCAAATGAGGTCGGTGCCAGGGTTGGTACGCAATTTTGATTTTTTTTAGTGTCTCTTGCTTACTTTTAAGCTAACAATTCTTATTTCTGAGAATGCCCTGCTGGCTGCTACTGATTAAGACAGTGGAAGATAGGATACCTCTTAATCATTATCATGAGTTTGTCTTCAACTTATCTTTTAGATCTTGAGTGCAATATACATGCCATGGGCATGACCTCAACGTGTGTGATGAATGATGATTGACTGACACATTTCTGATCTTGATCCCATGCATTCATTTTCAGGTGCCAGTTGATATTTATTGGTAGCTGGGTGCAGTGAGGGCAGCCAATGGCTGCTGCCGGCACTTGGTATGTGCGCGTGCTGCTGTTACTGGCCGCTGTCTGGGTGGTGGTGGTGTTCCTCACTGTTGGCCCGCTGTCACTGGTGGGTGGCGGTGGCGGCAGCAGTGGTGCTGTCCTTGTTGGTCGCCTCAATGCAGCTGTCTCCCAGCTGGCTGAGCTGCGTCGGCAAAACGATGAGCTGCGGCAAATGCTGGTCGACTTCACAGAGTGAGTACCTGGAGCTTCAGGGTTGGTGGTTGTTTTGAATGGCTGTCTGCTGATGGCTATTTTACATGCTAGTGTACTAGCAAGTGACATGTCAGCGTCACATAAGTGTTAAACATTGCTCTAAGCAATAGCATGCCATAGTTTTGCACAGTAGGTAACAGCTTGGGTTGAAGTGCTGTGTGGAATGATGTCTATTTGCTGGTACTGAGCTAAGATATTAGAGTTGTCACAGAAGTCATGTGGCAATGACTTCTTGGCTGGTACAGACACTTCACCATGCCACTGGAGGTAAACTTAGGTGATTGTAAAAGTTTGAAAATGTCTGCTTCAGCTGTTTTCATTTGGCAGGTATCTTTTGTACCAATTGACATGAATTTTGAATGTCACTGTCATATCACCCATATTTGTGTTTGACCATTTTTATTTTCATTTAGGATTTCTGCCAATGCTGGCAATGATAACACAGCTACCATCCAGAAGTTGAAGCATAAGCTGGCTGAAGCACCTCAGCGTTTGTCAATGTCAGGTGAGTACCCCTAGTCCTCTAACCCTCATTTCTCTTTCTTGCCCTTCTCTCAGCTCTTTGATGCTGTTGATCACTTACCATCCTTATTGCAGCAGTAAATGGCTGCTCTGTCCAGCTGCCATCGCTTGTTTATGAAGTTTTCTGGTTGTGTGATATTTTCTTTCAAATCCTGCTTGCAAAAGTGTTTTTCCTAGTGCTCTCACCAATGTAAAGTAAATCGCAGAACTACCTATTTGATTGTATTAACTTCAAAAGCAAGACACCAGTGACATGTTGACTCATCCTCGTTTCCATCGATGCTAGCCCACTGAGTCTCTGTTTGAACACCTGAGTCCTCTGACGGCTGTCACATTGAGGACTAAGGGTGGCGCTGGGAGTAACAGTCCGAACCTCTGCCGCACAGAGCCGAGCTTGGAGTACGAGCTGGCGCGAAGGCAGAGCCGGCGCGACGCGGACGAGCTGTGGCGCTTTGTGCGCGGTGAGCTGACTGCCTGGCGCAAGGACGACTCTGCCAAAGCTCCACCGGTGGCCAGGAGGCTGGAGAAACTGCAGGACAGCGTGCGACAGTATCACGCGTAAGTTAGCAAGCGAGTCCGTCCTCAGACGCAGAAGGGAAAGCGGCAAATGGACGGGTGTGTGGCGGGCCCAGCACGTGCGTGAGTGGGGGTTACGACTTACGGTCTTGTCGAGTCATCAGATATGTCGGCGTGTGTGTGTCGATGTTCAGTAACAGGTACGAAGTACAAAGACAAACTTCTCTCTGAATCGATCGCCCATGATGGATCGGTCGAATGAGATGGCTGTCATTGCTCTGTCTACGTTGTCATCTTGTTTTACATCCTCTCCGTCTGTTCCTCGGTGCCATGTGTCGGGTTTATTTTATCATATTGGCATCATAGCTGTGTTACATGTGATATGTCTGTTGTCTAGCATACCCAAACCTATCCATACATCAGGTGCCGGTGTCTCTCCCCTCCCAGGGTAATACGCGGTGATTTGGCCAACCTGACTGTGGCCGACGGCTGGGAGACGTGGCGCCGACGAGAGGCCGATCAGCTGGCCGACCTGATGCGGCGTCGGATCGACTTCCTGCAGAATCCGCCGGACTGCGCCACCGCCAAAAAGCTTGTCTGCAATCTGAACAAGGTGGGTACCTCGGACTGGATGAATGTGTCGGCCTCCGCTGCATTGTGCTTCAGCAAACGCAACGTTGGAAACGCAACGTCGAAATAACGGTCTTGCTTGCATCGATTTTACCGAATCTGTGCTCATGTCATCCATCGGTAAATGTATGAAGATCCTCCATCCGCCTGTCTTCCTTCTGAACTGATGACAATCTTGTGATAATTCCGAAATTTGTCGTCCTTTGTGCCTGCCCGACTATCGGCACTTCTATGGTTCACCTGAGCGTCTTCGCCAGGTCTGCGGGTTCGGCTGTCAGCTCCACCACGTCGCCTACTGCCTTACCGTGGCATACGGCACGGGGCGCACGCTGGTTCTCAACTCGCGCAACTGGCGCTACAACCGCGCCGGCTGGGAGCAGGTGTTTCAGCCGCTGAGTGGCACCTGCCAGGACGCCGGCGGACGCTCCAAGGCAGCCTGGCCCGGTGAGTTGAGCGGTCTCGGACGTCAAAGTGACTGGCGACAGAGTCTGTGGTTTTAAGGGCAAACGTGCGGTTGATAGGTCTGGCAGGTCTGGACTGTCGTGTGCGATTGCTGACGTCTAATAGATAGTGGCATGTATCTTGATTTTTTTAATTTTGTACCTATATTATCATAGCTCAATATTTGGCCTATTCACCACGCATAATAAACGCGCGATTCTGATGATGCAACTGCCGCCATTATCGCATAGCTAATACATTTCGAAAACATTTGGCCTTTTGACTTGATAGCAGTTTTTACCATGTAATGTCATGCTTGTCAGCTACCATCCTTGTACCCTGATTGTCCATCTTCCAATTTTCCAGGTACCTCTGTCTGCCGTCCTATCTGGCCTTGGCGCCGTCTGCCTGATCCAGCGACCAGCTCCCGGCCACCGTCTGTCTGATCCAGCGACCAACGCCCGGGCCACCGTCTGTCTGATCCAGTGGCCTCCCGCCTGCGTCTGCCTGATCCAGCTACTGTCCTCCCAGATCATCATCCTTCCTATCACGGGTCGTCACATTCCCGGTACGGTACCAGCCACAATCTGTGTTCGTATTGCCTAAGTCTTGGTATGTTACTGCTAAGATACTATTCGTCCGTCCGTCTATTTATACCTCCATTCGTCTATTCATCCATGTTTTTGCCTTTTTTGGGGCGTGATAATGTCTTTTTCGTATCATGGTATATGGAATTTCGCTGTTTTTGTAGTGTCAACCAACATGTAGCCGCAAAAGAAGTATATATGCTTAATCGGGCTTTTTCCTTCTTATTTGACCTGCGCGCCAACCTTTGGGTTGACTGCAACTTCTGCAATCATACTATTCTCCACCCCTGGGCCCTGGCTGACACCCCCCCCCCCCTTCCCCCTCCCCTGACGCAGGCACGGCCGACACCCAGGTGTTAACGCTCCCCATCATTGACGTGGTGAGCCCCCGACCTCCGTACCTGCCGCTCGCGGTACCGGCCGACCTGGCGGACCGCCTGGCCCGCCTGCACGGCGACCCCAGTGTCTGGTTCACGGCCCAGTTCGTGAGGTACCTCATGAGGCCGCAACAACACCTGCAGAACGACCTGGACGCGTTCGTGAAACGGGTCCAACTGCGAAACCCCTGCGTCGGGTATGTGAAGGGTGCGCTGTGGGTTAGCAGCTTGGTGGAGGAAAAACGTTCTTTCAATTTATTTTTCTGAATAGTTATATTCGTCGACGTTCTTTCTCCCCTCTTTGCTGAATAATTTTTCGAGTGGCTTTATCCTGTATGATTCTATGATGTGTTAGTTAATTGCGGAGATCAATTTACGGTTGTCTGCTAGTTATTATCCAGCATAGTGACTTGCAGTTGTTTTTGACAGTCAGACTACCAATTGTTACTTGGCCGTAACACCGGCCTCTCATTCCTTCTCTGTGTGACGTGTTTGCTAACGTGACTGACCTGCCCCCTATCGTCGTGACTGACCTGCCCCCTACCGTCGTCGCCGACACAGGATACACGTGCGTCGCACGGACAAGGTGGGCACCGAGGCGGCCTTCCACCCTATCGAGGAGTACATGCAGCACGTGCACGAGTTCTACGAGAGGCGTCAGATGGAGGCCGGTGGCGGGGATGGCAGCCGACGCTGTGTCTACCTGGCCTCGGACGATCCGTCCGTGTTCCAGGACGCCGTCAACAAGTCAGTATCCAAGTCAATAAGTCAGTAATAAGTTTCCAGTCCCATTGTGGCGAGACACTTCCTCGCCAGGGCTAAGAGGGCTTCGAACTGACAGTTTGTGTCGGTTCGTGGTTGTGAAGGTGACAATGAACCCTCGTAGAAGCAGTGCCAGGAATTAGAGCCGATCACTGTCGGGTCGTGTCCTTTGCGATCATTTGAGTGTTGTACTGCACTATCTTATTTCTGATAAGTTTACATGGCGACCGTAACATTTGAGTGGATTGCAACATGCTCTTAAATAATTTGACGGTAACTGCTTTCTGTCTAACCGTCCGCCTATCTCCTAGGTTCCCGGACTACACGTTCCTGGGCGACCCGAGCGTCTCCAAGACTGCAGCCGTCTCTTCGCGGTACACGGACGCCTCGCTGCGCGGAGTCATCACCGACATCCACGCGCTGTCGCTGACCGATCACCTGGTCTGCACGTTCTCGTCACAGGTGGGTCACGGTCGCACAGTCTGACAATCGGGAGGCTTCTGGTCTCACAGGTGGGTCACGGCCTAACAAGTGGGTCACAGTTTCACAGTATCACAGTCAGGAGGTGCACAGCAGCTGGTAGGTGATGGTCTTTCAGGAGGTTGACTGTCATCAGGTGAACCATGTTTCTCACAAGACTGGAGGTGAGAGAAGCTTACTTTCTTACAATGTTGCCGCAATCTTATGGTAGGTAGACCATGTCCTTTTTCACAGGTGGTAGGGTAAGCGGGATCGCAAGTCAAACACTAGGATTATCGGCTATGTGGAATCTGCTGTGCGTTATTTGCTTGCCTTCGCTGAGCTCTGTCCGAGTTGCGGTCAGCCTTTATTTCGACTGTCGCGTCCACAGCGGCCCGCTGTCTAATCCGCACCTCTCTTCCCTCTCAGGTCTGCCGAGTGGCCTACGAGCTGATGCAGACCATGCACGTGGACGCGGCCGACTGGTTCACCTCTCTGGACGATATATACTACTACGGCGGCCAGTCGCCGCACGAGCAGACGGCCCGGTTCGCTCACCAGCCGGCCGACGGGTCGGAGATCGCCCTCAGTCCAGGAGACACGGTCGGCATCGCCGGTAGGTGGCAGCACTAATGTTAGAGGACAGCCGGGGGCTGGTGGTGCCGTTCATTATCTGAGGGAGAAATCGACGAATGTCCATGTATCACTGTTGAAAACTTATCTGTTTTGTTGCCTTTTAACATGAAATCACGTTCAGGAAACCTTTTTTCTTCTTTCGGCCGTTTTTCGGTCTATCCATGTTACACTTAAATCGTTGCCGAGAAAATATTGTCTGTTCCATAGATGACACGTGACTTATCAAAGACGTCAATAACGAACTGACTCTTGAATAAGATCGTGTCGCCTTGTCTTGTCTATGAATTCGTCCAAGATAATTTCCGTTGGTGTGACCGCCCTGACCCGGTGACTTGTGGTTAGCTGGGATTATGAGTGCTTGCCTGACATGTCACTGGATAATCCCTGTATTTCTGACGCCCTCCTCCATATCTGGCAGGTAACCACTGGAACGGCTACTCCAAAGGCGAAAACCGGCGGCTGAAGAAGGTCGGCCTATACCCGGCGTACAAGACGCGCGACAAACTGCGAGTAGTCGAGTTCCCGCGGTACCCAGAGGTACCGCTAGTTCTCTGATAGTCCGCAGGTACCGGTAGTGCTCTGGCTCGCTAATGGCGAATGGTTGAGGTTCGCGGTACCCTCAGGTGCTCCCTGATGCTCTGCGGTACCGTAGGTGCCCTCCGATCGTCTACGGTACCAGAAGGTGCTCCCCAATGGCCCATGACATCTGGTGGTGCCCTCCAAGGATCCCTTTTACCCAGAAATGCGCTATGCTGGCCCAATGTACTCGAAGGACGTTTCTGATAGCCCTCGATATTCGTGTTCCCATCGGCTATCATTGATCGTCCCGACAGCTGCGACTTTGAGTGTCGACTGCGGCCAGAGTCCATTCGGCATTCTATGCCCGGCCGGCCGGTGCCGGTGGCCACAAGTTGGCCTAACTCGCCGACCGGCAGTCTGCGCCGTGAGGTACCTTCGGAGTGACACCCGACCGTTCGGCTGGAGCAGCTGGCAGAGCCGTGCCGCCGGCCGGGTCGGGAGAGGTCGTGGGCAGATCCATGGTTCAGGGATGCGCCAGACACAGGGTATCGAACCGTGTATGCAACTGGCCGGTGCTGTGTCTTACATTATGCTTTTAGGGACCATCGTCTTCGCGACATGATAGTAGGAGCAGTTGTTTTTTTTCGTTTTGCGAAATTTCTTCCCAGGTATTACTATTAGTGTAGTGTTTGCAAAATGTCATGGCTAAGCACTGTCTAGGGGTTGTCATTATCCGTCGTTTTCTGCCTGTTCGTGGGGCAAGAGTGCCCTGCCGGCGTGCGGTCTCGCTGGCCGTCTGTGAGGAAGGGAGGTGTGCGTTTGTGTGTGGGTGTGAGGGGCTGCGTGTGCGGGCTAACTGTCCACCGTTGGGTTTTCTGTCCGCCCCGAGGGTTGGGATAGACGCAGGGCGACCAGAAGGTGCTGTCTGGCGGTGCGGTGTCGCTCGCTGCCGCACGACATCGTCCGCCGCGGTAGCTCCTTCCCAGCCCCTGTTGGGTGCAGTGTACGGGCTCTGGGTCGCCCTGCTGCGGGTGCCGACAGGCGGCCGTCCCTGGCCGTGCGCTGTGGCCAGTCCGAGGCATTCCTCGCTGTGATATGGATGCAGACCGCCTGCCGTGAATTGGGACTTTGGTTCGGTGGTATCCGATCTACTGCTGTGCTGTTTTAAGCGGACGGGATTAAGTTGTTGGTGCTTTGTGTTATTATTGGTGTTTTATTGTTATTTCGGTTTAAGGACATCGATTTAGCTATCATTTATGTTTAGCTTCTAGACTACTGGTACCCTTAGACATTAATATTTGTCTCAGTTGCCAATGCTTCAAATTAGGCGGTTTCTTTTTAGCATTCCTTAGTCCCCATTACACGCCAATTTAGCAATACGACCCAGCGACATCGGCATCAGATGCATGTCGTCTGGACAGTGGTTACTTCATGGTTGATTCGGTTCACTCCAGTAGTCTGAAGCCGTCATAATGATAGTAGTTCGAGCCGCCCGGGCCGGTGACCCCAGCCGGCCGACGGGCTGCTGGGCTGGACTGCTGAGCTCTTAGTACTTCCGCCAGTAGCTGCTGGCCCATGGGCTACTGCTGGCTCGATCAGTGCTGCCGACATGACTGCTGGTTCGTTCAGTATTACCGGTAGGATACCGGTGTTTTCAGCATTACTGGCGAGGCTGAGCTGGTCTGTCGGTATTGTCGGCGTACTGGCAGCTGGTCAGTTCAGTATTACCGGTGGGATGCTGGTCCGTTCAGTGCTCGTCCATTCAGTACTGCTGTGCGCAGCGGGTCCGCCCAGAGCTCCGGCAGGCTCTACTGGTCTCTCGGTGCTGCCGCATTGCCGATGTCGCTATCGGACCTGATGAACCCATCTCCAAATTGGATTGACGCTGCTCGCATTGGGACAGTCCCCATGCAAAAACGTCCACAAGAGTCTCTTCTTACGACTGTTCAACGACAAGCTTCCGCTAAAAGCGTTCTAGCGTTTTCGGCGTTTTCGGAGGTGCCGTATCTTCGCAGAATTATGAGGTTTTGCTTCGCCGATGGTGGTGACCAATGGTCATGTCTGTGATATGCTGACCTAGACGGCTTACAACGATGGTACGCAATTCCGCATTCATCGGATGCGTTTTTGTTGGTCATATTTTGGCTTTACCTTACCTATTTAACGAATTAACGAAAGAAACGAGATCGACTCTGGGAGGCGCCGGCTTGCGAGGTGTTGATAAGTAGTTGTGTACGCGATCCATCCAGTGCGTATTTTACGAATGTGTGTGTATATTCCACAGTGTTTTCTCTGCGATACTTATCCAGCCTCACGGCATTCTTCGAAGACTAACTTAATTTATGCTTGTAACCTTGATCACTATTCACTATTGCTGCTTATTGCTGCGGCACTTTTCCTTGCAGTGATGCGAGCCACACGTTTGCTGTTGTCGCAGTCTTAGCTTGTCAAAGTGTGCCTCACATTTAGCCTGCCGCAGGCATTACACGCTATCTGGTCTATACATGTTTGATATCCACGGCTGCACACGCACTTTTGGACCGTTTTGTGCGCTAGCAGCGTCTCCTAGTCTCGACTGCCGAGTTCTTCTCTTGGCTGGCTTTTCTGCCGTATTGCTCTCTATACAATAGATTCATAATCTCACGTTTTTTGGTGGTTCGTCTTGCCAGCGACGAGCTGACTGTCTTCTTCACTCTTTCTACACTTCCCTCTGAGTGTCCATTGGCCGTGCACTTTTCAGCACGTTTTGTTGTGCTGGGTGGATAAATAACTGATGGTGCCGAGACATGTCTACCAACCACTGTGTGAGCAATGTTCGAGCGTTGAACGATGTCTACGGATGCTATTTATACGCTAGTTTGTAGATGAAGTGCGCACTGAAATACACATGTAGCAGGTGTCACGTTGTGTAGTGGAGGAACGCGTGTGGATAAGGGACATAGGCGAGTGAGGGCGAGCAGCTGCACTTTATCACCGATACTCGGCTTTTAATTTAGAGTTCTGAAAAATGAAGGCTGCTGGTCCCATGAGTGTACTCGAAAATACCGGATTAAAAAGACTGACAATTGTCGGTCGTATTGACGATTAGAAAATGTGGCCATAGACGTATAAATCTGATTATAAAATTATTGATTACCAAAAGAAGCATGCGAGTTTCGTTGCCTAACCGAGGTGACCCAGAAAAATGGGAACTCTTGGGCTCGACACCACGCTCAGTTCAGTCCCTGGGCTCCAGTTCATCCCCCTAGTCACGGTGCCCCGTTCAGAAGGAATCCGGCGCACGGTCGCTCGGATCAGTCCCGTCGGGCGAGGCGGCTCGCTCAGCTTAGGTCTGTCCCGCCGAGTTCGGCGCCCCTCTCATGTCGGTCACTGTCCCGTTCAGTTCAGTCCCGGTCCTGTTCAGTTCGGACCCGTCCCCCGGTCCGTTTGGGGCGCGGCGTCCCTCTCAGTTCGAGTACTGCCCCTGTTCAGTTCGAGCCCGTCCCCCGGCCCGGCTGGGGCGCGGCGCCGGGCCGCCGTCCGACTAACTGGCCGCCCGGGAAATCAGCAGCCGCGCCGATGATGCAGGCACGCTGCAGCGCTGCTTGTTACCGTTCCCGGCTCACCGGCCGGCAGCCACGCGTGCTTTATGGTCAGCCTCACACCTGTGGGTGGGGGGCCGACTGAGGACGGGTGATGGGTGCGCCACGGTGGAGGGGTGCGCTGCAAACGCGGCTGGAGCGGATGCCTCTGCGGTACAGACGGGATATAGTCCAAACTCGGTGTCTCGACGCCCGTTCTTCGGCACATTTGGTTTTAAACCTGCTGTCAGGGGCGTAATTTTATATCTCTTTGTAGGGGCAGATGCACCCACAATCCTGAAATATGCCCCCACAATCATGCAAATGCACCCACAAGTCTTCTTTTACAGCCTTTCGAGAGCACGGCACCCTGCGCATGCTCTAACGGCGTCATGCTCTAACCTTTTCATGGTCTCACGGCGCCCTCGTAACCGTCTGGCGCCCCATAGGTCCCCACCAACTTAGCATTACAGACTGTGCGGCGCCCTTCTGACCTCTCTGCGTCCCTGGATCATAAAACATTTTTAAAGGTAGTGTGCCACCTTTGAAAGATTTCCCATTTTATTTTTCCTAGGATAAGAAGCTTCTGTTTTTACCTAATATCGCAAAAAAAAATCAAAAATGGGCCTGGAATAGTGCCTTTTTCGCCTAAAAGTTTATCGGTTTTTAGATATGTATAACAACTGTAGTGGGCTCACCTGCAAACAGGCGTCGGCAACAATCGCGAATGCGGCGCACATGTGACAATAAGCAAAGGTCATTATAGTGTTACGACCATACGACGTACGGGAATGAGTTATCAGCTGTCTAATCGTAGACAACACAATGTCGAGCCTTAAACTGTAAGCCTGTATTGGTATTGTTTCTTTTATTTGGCTGTCGAACATTATTTATGGTTTGAAATATGATTTTATGTAAAATAATTGATATGAAAAAGCCGTCTCATAAGTTATGACCCCATTTCACCACACGCAAGTGGCAGAAATGACAATGATCAGCTGACGCATTTTTCTTGGCCGAAGTCAGAGCGCGCAGCCCGACGCACCACCACCGCACCACAAAGTATGAGCAGAAGCCGCGCCCAAAGCCAGGGCCCCGGTAACGTGAGGTAGCCGAGTCGGGGCAGCGTGCGCTGACCCAAGCCGGGGCCGCAGCTTTGGGCGCGGTCTACCGCATCCCCGCGGGCAGCCCCGGGCTATCACATGACACCGGGAGGACGCGCGGCTCCGGCTTGGGTCAGCGCACGCTGCCCTGACTCGGCTACCTCACGTTACCGGGGCCCTGGCTTTGGGCGCGGTCTACCGCACCACCTAACAGGCGTGTTCGAAACCGCAGGAGCTGATGATGAACGGGTTTATCGAAACTTGATTGGATGAGCATATCGGTAATAGCGATTTCAGTGTGTGCATTTATTGTTCATAGTGGTGTGAAATGTGGTTGGGGTACGACCGACAACCCGTCGGGGCGAATTTCGCACTGGGGTACTCAAAATTTGAAGAATTTAAGACGTTTCCATGAGTTTTGAAGGTATGGATAAGTTCTAAAAATCCGGTTCTCCTTATCTGGGCCATTAACTCCATACGGTCCAGGAAAGCTGGCACACTACCTTTAACCCGGCAGGCGGTGGGCCTACCAGCCACCTTCCGCGCGGTGGGGGGGGGGGGGCATTTTTTTGCCCCCCCTCGTATCTCCGAAACTACTGGACGGATCCGGAAAATTCAAACAGCGTTCGATAGTCCTGTCAAATTTGTCGAAGGAAACCAAATTTCATTGACCTCGGGGTCACCGATGACGTCACAGGTCAGGTCAAAGATAAAATGTTTCACCGTTCACGGGGCTTCTAGAGAAAGCGCTATAACACCGAGTAAAACGCATTTTGTCGAAAATCAGCGATAAGGCGTCAGTTGTCTAGTACATATGTTGCTATTAGAGGTCACTGGTCATACCAGGTCAGGTCACAGGTCAGGTCACCAAAGGTCACCAAGGGTCACCACATGAGCCCAACTTTACTAAGGTTATGCGATGCATGTTTTATGGCCAGCTTTTCATTTCCAACTCAATGGTGTTGGTTATAAGACCATCAGGTACGGTTTAGGTCACTTTCTGGTGGAGGTCAGGTCAAGGTCAGGTCAAAAAAGGTCAAATTTCAAAGTTGATATTTTTGCATAAAATGGGTATCGATTCGATGCAGCTCGTCACGGGGAGTCTAATGGTGGTCTTAGTTTTGCGCTACGAGGTCTAGAATTGCTAAAAATTGAGTTTGAAAATTTGACGTCATCAATTTTGAACAGTTTTTTCGCTATAACTTGGCCAAAAAGAGGTATCGATCTGAAATTTGGTATGTAGATAGAAGGCGGTAGGGGCTATCACAGATATTCCGGTTTTTTCGAAATTCAAAAAACTTTTTGGATTTTTCGGCTATTATATTCAAAAAATCTATTTTTTGATTTTTGGGGGTCAAAATCCAAAAAAAAAGAAAAACCGAAATAGCAGTTTTGTAGCCCTTTTGATTCCACACCTTTTATGTCTGAAACATTTTTCTGTATCTCTAAAGCTGTCGGCCTGAGAGCTCTTCCCGCGAAACCTTTTTTTGGGTCGAAAATGGCAAAAATGACGTCACTCTGACGTCATTAGCGGCCAACCTATCAGAGCCTTTGGAAAAAGTTTTGGTCACCATGTGCGCTAGCTGCTCCCGGGAGGATACTGAAAGTTTGGTGACGATCGGCGCAGCGGTTCTCGAGATATATTGAAAAAAACTAAAGGGGGGGGGGGCAAAAAAATGCCCCCCCCCCACCACCTGGAAGGTTAATCACTTGGCGCCCTTCTGGGAGAATGGCGCCCTTGTCTTGATCTCACGGCGCCCTTGTAACCTTCTGGCGCCCCTACGTCCCCTAAGCGGCCTGGCGCCCCTACAGGTTGGCACCCACAATCATTTTGGGAAAATGAACACCCTTGCCTGCTGTTGAACTAACTAATTATAATTCAGGTATTTGGCTTCGCAGTTCGGAACATCATGTGGGAATAAAAATTAGTCGGCACGTCACAACCATGCGGTTTCCTTGTCAGCTCACGTGTTACTGGGGTATCGAGATGCGTTTTTTTTTTGCGTTAGACTAATTCAAATTGCAGTTTATTCAGCATTATATACGTTGTTTGTCTTTGGGTGCATTTGAAGTTTTCCAATGTGCCTGTGTATTTTTATGTCTTCGTTATATCTGCATTTTGTTGTGGGGTAGGTATGTGAAATCAGAATGACCACGAGGAAAACTGGAACAACCAGCCTAAGTCGCCGAATTAATTACTGGGACGAAGATAATATTGCTAAAAAAAGACACGCGCGTCTGAAATCGATTAAATCGGAACCGATTCGCATGATTTATAAATATACGTGCACAAGTAACTAGCAAGACAGTAGAACGTCATATATCCGTCTCGTCTGGTACGGTCGATGACGCGACTTTCCCCTATGACGTCATCGATCTATGAAGCACTGAACCGGCAATACCGCCGTGGAAGAAAAACAGACGCTCTATTATTCCATTACGAGAGCAGCAATGTTTGATTAGAGCGACGTCTTGGCTCTGCGGCGGCAGTTAGCTTTTCTAAAATATTGAGACGGACGCAGTCGGGCGGCGTTGACCGGCAGCGGGGTGCGCGGGCGGTCTGACCTGGTCAGGACCGCCCCAGACTCGGCAAATGTCAGCCAATCAGCGGGCGACCAGTGGCGCTCCACCCCGGTCAGCTCCCAAAGGGAACGAGCGCTACCAATTGGCACATGACGGATTGATCATGTCCAGACTGGCCGGCCGGAATTTATGGCGTATTACTTATCTGTGAACTGTCATTTAGGTGCATCCCCGGACGGTCGTTGTGTTTGATAGGTAGATATTTGCTGGTATGGTGGGATTAGCCTATACGTAACATTGCCATCCACCTGATCATTTGGCTTTATATAGTCTGCATTAATTTTGAAACGTGCGACCCCGATGTCAGATAGAAAGCCGAACTTCGAAGACGGTGAACTGAGCGGGAAGGTATCTTTCAATTAGATGCTGCACTTAATCTTAGTGCTGAAAGCAATGATCGGCAGGCTGCAAAAATACATGCGATTTGTGAAGACAAAGACGTAATACCAATAGGTCTCTGCTATTCTTTTCCATCTGCCGTCCCACACCGCTTCCAACCCCCACTGCATGTCTGGCTTGGACACAACTACCGACCGTTTCTGATGCCGCGGCAGCCCCCGCAGACCAGAGATGGGGCCGATCGGTCAGCCGCCTCGGAACAGCCCGCCGTGGCTGACACGGACCCGGCACGCACACAAAGGGTTGGGGTAGACC